CTGACAAGATGAAGTTATGGGAGAATGTCAAAGGCTTTGCTGAAGTTGAGGTCAACAACATTCACTGTTCACCTCTCATCCACCAAGCTAGTGACCTCATTATAGAAGGCATTGTAATTGGTCAAGCATAATTTCCCCTTCACAAATCTATGCAGAATATCCAAATCACCTTCTTGTCCTTCATGTGTTTGGAGATGGTTTCCAGGAGGATTTCCTCTATCACATTCCCAGGGATTGAGGTGAGGCGGATCGGACTGTGGCTCCCTAGATCTTCCTTCTTGAAAACACAAATGATCTTTGCTCTCTTCCAGTCTTCAGGAACTTCTCCCTATCACCATGACCATTCAAAGATAATCAAGAGTGGCCTTGCAGTGACATCAACCACCTCCCTCTGCACTTCTGGATACAACCCATCAGGCCCCATAGACTTACAGAGCTGCGTCCTCCATCTGAGGATGCCTGGGTGCAAGAGTTCAACAGCAAACAGCTGCTTCAGTAGTGCTTGGGTCCTCTGCTTTGTGACCATGAACTTTAAGGACACGTATACCAGACAGAGAACATTTGCTGGCTTCTTCTTTGTGCCCTTCTGCATAAACTCCTGTGCAACCTCCTGCACATGTACTGGCTGCTTCTGTTATCATTGTGCAAACTGCTGCATCATCTGGCTGTTATATAGTCCTCTTCCTGGCATGGGCTCAACCCTCCCTAAACAGGCGTCAGCTAGAAAAAAGGCTGCAGATATCTGTTGATCAAGGACAGCTGATGGAGTTGATCAGAAGTTGCCACAGCTACCTTTACTTTAGCCTTACCTGGGAGCTGCAGGCATTCTCAGTTTCCTCAGGTTTCCCAGAAGTGCCCAAATTGCAGAAAAAAGTTCCCAGCAGCTCAAGAAGATATCAAGATAACCTCAGAGAAGCAGAAACTGCTACACAAACTGCTCTCTATGCTAGCTGCATGCTGGGCCTGGCTCTTCTATAGGCCAACTGAAAACAAAAAATGATTGTTTCTAGATTTCACAGTATTGCTGTCCAACAAAGTTGCTTTGATGCTTCACATGAAGAGAATTTTTTGAATTCACTAAACTATTATATTAAAAATAATTTTCAGAAAAAATAGTATTAATAAAAAAATGCATCAAGTTCAGGTAAAATCCCTGCTACGAAAATATCTAAGTGAAATTAAGCATTAATTTTTAAAATCTTTGAAATTATATTTTGGAAATATAAATTTCACTTTGCTGCACAGTAAAGGCAGAGTCTGGAAAAATCTGTGCAGTCTATAATACTAAGTAGTAGGAATTTTTTTTAAGATAGTATAACAACATGGCAAAATTATTTGAAGACTTTAGAAAATTCTTGACATGGAGAGCTGAAGAAACTCAGTTGAATCATCTCAAAAACAGATGGAATTGTGATTTTATTATAGAGAGAAAAAACTTTAAATATCTCTTTAATGTAAAGCAGACATTAAAAAAAAGAAATCCAACAAACAAACAGTTGTTGGAGGCTTAAGATACATGTGCAATTGTAAAGTAAAAAGCACATTTTGAAATGTGGGATTGACAACACTGGAAGGAAGAAATCAAGGAGACTTGTGAAGTCTCAGTTGTTGATGTCTTTCAGGTGGAAACTGTACTTCTGTGAAAGATATATTTAAATGCAGGACTACTGAGAAAAATAACGAAGTCCTACATAATGCAGGAAGCCAGGAAAATGGTGTAGCTGTCTACTGTGGTTTAAATCCCATGCAATGCTAGGTGAGCACCCAATCTTCCTATTTTCTGTTGGTCTGTAATATTTGGCCAGGGACTTTTCTAACTAATTATGTTCTGAAGCTCCTGATGTCATTCTGAACATCGGTGTAATGGTATCAAGTTGCTGTAACATGCTGTTTTGAATGCCTGAAGCCAGAAAGAGGGACACTGAAAAATTCCATATGAACATAGCGCCCACAGAATGGGCTAACATTTCTCATTCAGGAATGCAGAAAACAGAATGAGTAGCTGTTCCTACTGGCCTACTTCTCCCAGTGATCGGAACTAAAACCAAAGGCTCTTACATACCATTTAACTAAATCTAAAAAATTATACAAAATCACTAGTGGTAGACCAAGGAGAAACACTGTCCTTTTAGAAGAGCAGCAAAGATTTGAGGACTTCTTGCACCCAAAGGAAAACGCAACATTGGCAAACACGAGTGGAAGTGGTTACCATGTCAAAAGGAGAACTATAAGGGCAGTACCTGCTCAAACTAATTTCACTCAAGATAATGACATAACTTAGACAACCTTTAAGTGAGTGCTATATACGTCTTCAGGTTGGTTGAAGGATCAGTTTGCTGTGTGGTGTCTTGATATGGCCAGATTATCATGTAGCTACCATTTCTTTTGCCACGTAACTGTCCACAGTGCATTTATTGGACAACAAAAAATTATTCCCCCTTTACTCTTGAAACAAATAACCCAGAGTCATCATCTAATTCCATGACATTGTAAATTTGTGCTTGCAAGACAATTTCACATACATGCCAGTAAGTACTTTAAGGTTAGCATAACTTTGAAGTAAAAATCTACAGTCCCATTTAACTTTATTATAATTATGCAATGATATATAATTCTACTTGCCCTATTCCATAACATTATATGTATTTTTGCTATGTAATTTCTGAATCACATTATTCCTGTGAACTCTAACATTAGCCTTCTTTGAGTTTCTGACAATATCAACATTAACACTGTTAATTTTCCTCAGTTCCTTATATCTTGCTTTGATGTGTGCTGAGAGGTCTCTACCTCACACAGTTACTGATTCTCCTCTCAACTCCTTATTAACTTAAGCCTAATTTTCAAAGGAATTGAACACTTAAAAATGTTCCCCAAGTGAGTGGTAATTAAAATTTTATATAACAAATACAATGCAAATGGAAAGTTTTAAAACCATGCATGTTCTTGAAATGTGGCATCCAACTTGAATAGATACTTTCAAATGGTTTGGAGTAGCTTTGTTTGGGTTTGTTTGTTTCCTAATATGTTATAGTTGCAGCTTGCAAAATGGACAGAAGATCACTTTTAGGTCTGAACAATAGATTGAAGAAAAGTCATCAGTTAGTTACACACTCAATATTATGCTTTAATCTTCAAAAGACAGTCCATGACAAAACCAATAACTTCATAATATTGTGAAAGATTTGGAGGATCTGCTGGAAGTAGAACAGAGGAACATGACATCTATAATTAAATAAAATAGAATATTTAATAGCCATTACATGTGCACCGTCCTGTTTGTCATTAAATAGAGCAGAGATCTTCTTACAAACAGTATACTATTGTGTAATTAAATGTATTGGAAATGAAATACACATGGGAGCTGAATTAAGATAACTATGTTATTAATGCTTTGGTGGGAGTGGCCAGTATAAAGAATATTGTTTTGAGCATCTCACGGGTAGAAAGATAAAGACAGATGCAGTAGCTTTACAGTCTGCTGTTCCCATTGTTTGGCTCAAGGCAACTGTGTGCATGGCCAAGATTATAAAACAATCATTGCTGCTGTTTTTATAGATATGGAGTGAGACAGTAGTTCACTTTTATGTGTGAATAGGAAATGTCCATGATGAATGTATCAATCCCTAATTGCCACTAAAAAAATGGAAGAAAAAAAATTTCCAGATTTATCAGCTACAATAGTGTGTTAACTCTGTATCTTTGCCTCAAAAATTCAGATGTTCAAAGAATGATGCCTCTTAAAACACAGCCATATTTACAACTGTTCCTAAAGGAGAACTAATAAACTCTGTGCTTCTGCGGATTACTCCACAGAAAAACACTCTTAATATATGCTTAAACTGGATATTCATAGCTTTTCAGTACCCTGAACATTTATTGTGTAACAGTAAGAGTCACAGTAATTATAAAATCCTTAATGACATGTACTATGCTATTAAATATGCTTTAATATTGACCACATAATATTTTATTCTTTGTTACTACATTGATTTTTTTCTGAATGGGTTTTTAATCCTTACTGTGAAACCTAAATAACATCAGCTTTCAAATTTTCATGTTCAACTTAACTGACATTTAGTATCATTTTTAGAACTTAAAAGCCAGTATAAAACATAGCTTTGGGTTCTACACCGTTACTTATTTAACTGGCCTTTAATAATTCACTGTAGTTGACTAAGATCAACAATAATAAATCCTTCCACTTGAGATCATTGATCCAAGACACTAAATAACAAGATGCCTAAAAACCCCAAGTATTATTGAGAGACTCAATTTCAAAACCACAAACTGGGCACAATATAATTCATAAAAATATTGAAATGTTTGAGTCTGAAAATCTTCCCAATATTTTAGGAGCAGACTAGTTTATAAACTCCCAAAACTGAACTATTTCTTGTGATACCACAAATCTCATTATCGCTTCTACTGATCAAATTCAATAAGTCAGGGAAAACAAAACATAACATAACACAGAGAAACCAGTCAGTCAGTTACTTGATTATATTAAAACTCTGAATAATCAAGGTTTATTTCATGTCTTGGGCACAATCTCTCTCCACGATACCTCTCTTCTCTGACACTTGCAAAATGGCATGTACAAAACCACTTGGGTCAATAGTACTGGTTACTGTCAGGATTTTAGATAACTACCTGAAATCAATATTTTTATATATTTTAGCTATAGTAAGGTATGGCATACCCCCGCAATAAAACAAAAGTTTCTGAGCAATTTTAATGCTTTTTCACTTAAAACTGCAGCAGAAACATATTGCGCAAATGACAATATCTACACCTGTGCTGCCAGTCATTAAAACACTTTGGATGGCTGAAAGTGTTAAATCTCCTTCAACTGAAGAGAAACATCAAATGTCAAAGCTCAGTTTGTTGTCAGCATGCTTCATACTCAGCTGCTACCTTCCCATTTTTTATTAGTGCTTAGAAAGAAGTCACACATCGAGGTCAGTTATCACACTCACCAGTTGTTCAAGTTTACTCACCCTTTGGCCTTCTTTGCCAGGTGGACCTTGGGGACCCTCCAGTCCTGGCAAACCCTGAAAATACAAACATAAAATAAATATAACATTCAGTGTTATTTTCATCCTCCATTATCCTATAGAAGTAAGACTAAGTGAAAGAGCCAGATATCAAGACAAAGAATTTATTTCTAATAATAATAAAAATAGGCTATTCATACTAACTTATTTCAGGATAATGTTATATTCAGGTGCAAGAAAAAGTGCAAACAATAATTATTACTCCCATTCCTCCATATAAAGGTTGAATCATTTGGAAAAGAAGAGTTAAGTCAGCACTACTTAAGCATAGTTATATTTAGTTGCAGTGTTATATGAAAAGTGATTTATTTTGTTAAGTTAGGATATGATAAGGAAAAAAAAAGTTATATAAATGAATGACATCTTACTCTACAATTCAAAATCAAATATAGGCACTGAAGGGGGAGGGGAAGGGAAGGGAGGGAAAGGAGACTAAATATAGCAGAAGGCCTTATGCTCGCTGCCCTGTAAGAACCAGCCCTGTGCTGCTTCCTCTGTGTGCCTGGCTCCGCTTTTCCAAACCCTTCAGAGTCACTTCTCTCTCACCCTCTCTCCTGACCAGGCACAGGAGCTTTGAGTTTTTTGAATATAACCTTGACTTATCAGCCTTTCTTCTGAACTCAGTGCAAGGATCTGCCTTTTGTGACTGAATCACAGTTAGTTTCTGATGCTTTGGGGCTTTAATTTTGTATCTGATTAATGCAGATATAATCATAAAGCCTTCAGATAAACTCACAGCTCTGTACTTAGAACAGTGCCCCCCTTTTACTTTATGAGTCACCCTGGAACACAATTTTTTTTTTTTTTAAATTACTTTGAGGAAGCTATCAAATTTCATTATAGCAACAAGAAATATGAAATGAGTTTCAATGTAGTCAGGAAAAAGCACTGCAGAGTTCTACTTTGTACAATTTTAAAAAAAGGTTTGAATGTAATATAGCATTTTCTTACAGCGTATCAAAAGTTAAAGAACTTATATTTAGTTTATTTAAGAGTTTGAAATATTAAAATATTAAATACTTAACCATTTAAATTACTCAGACTCAGGTATTGGTTTAGCTTGAGTTATGTCTTTAGTCAAAATCTCAACTTCTTATTTAGAATCAATTACATTGACCCAATAAGGGTAAACTGAGGCCCCTTGAGAATCATGTTTGTAAGAAGTGTTGGATTTCCAGAAATCAGTCTAAAAAGTTTATTTATGATCTCTAATTCCCAAGATAAACTTAAGAAAGTAAGCAGTCATGCCAAAGCTGCTACCTCCTGTATCTTGAATGGTGTTTGAAGTCAGATGTCATTCTAATCAACTTAAATAAAAGTAGTCAGTCCAAGAGTTTTTCTATTCTTATAATTTCTCTACTTTTGAAAGTGAAGATAGAGGAGTATCTCAGACAGTATTTGGAATTATAGAATTGTAGAATGGTTTGGATTGGAAGAAACCTTAAAGCTCATCTAGTTTCAAAACCCCTGCCACAGGCCAGGACAACTTCCACTAGACCAGGCTGCTCAAAGCCCTGTCCAACCTGGCCTTGAACACTGCCAGCAATGGGACAGCCACAGCTTCCCTGGGCAGCCTTTGCCAGTGTCTCACCACCCTCACAGTGCAGAAGTTCTTCCTAACATCCCATCTAAATCTACCCTCTTTCAGTTTAAAGCCATTACCCTTTGTCTTGACACTACATGACCTTGTAAAAGCCCCTCTCCAGCTGTCTTATAGGACCCCTATATAGGAATATCAGCTATTTCTCCCTTCACTTAAGTTTACAGCGTAAGCAAGATAAGGTTTAGGATCTTGTACAAAACTGATGTGCACCATTTCCACATTTCCCCAAAGGTTTATGGAACTGGAATACGCATGACAAGGTTTTGTTCAACAAATAAATCGTGGTAAGGTAATTACATTGCAGTTGTGCAGCTTATACATGCACAAACCCACAATGCAGTATGTGAATGTAACCTCTGCAAACCTCTACATTTTCCTTGAGGTAGTTTAGAATTTGCAGAGAATTCTGTCTGTCCAACTGTTAGCAATATTCCACCTTTGTAGAGAAATTCTGGAAATTCAGGAAGAGGTGGAGTTTTGTTTTGTTAATATTTCATTTCCGGTGACAAATTTATGCAGGGGAATGAGATGAAAACCTATAACATCTGTTTTATGGAGGAGGAAATACTTAGCCTCACATATCTGCACAATACAGCTCCAAAGGGACAAGAATTACACAAGAATGTAACTGTACAGTAATGATAATTAATAGCCAACATTTTTGTCCAAGACCTACTTTTTATTCTTTTTCTTCTCTCTACAATATTATTGTCAAGAGAAAGGAACCAGATAAGCAGGTTTATCTTCTAGGAAAGGGAGGAGAGCAACTTACAATTGGTAACTAGGCAGGGAGGACTACTAGGTACAAGGAGCCACATCCTGACATTGAAACTGAGGTAAAAGTTCACACTAACTTCAGTGGGATCTTCAGTTTAAAAAGTGATAGGACAACATGGCCACATTAAGTAACATGGCTGTAAAACCACAAGAGCTTGGCAGCAGTTATGACTTAGCAATGCTATCCCTCTTCAGCATTCATTAAATGAGATCCTGAAAAAAAAACCTGAAGACAACCTGCAGGAGGAATGAAAAATAAAACTTCTGTACAGTGAAATCTATCTAAAGGGATGAAAGAAACATCCTCTGCTGAATTCCTATAAAACTTCGCAATGAATGTAACAGTTTGGGACTGAAAAGTACATATTGTGACCTCTTGGTGAACTAAAACTAAACAAAACAAAATCCCAGCTGAAGTGGAAGAGTTGTTATTTGCATTACTTCCATCGGAAGTTTATAGCCTATGCCAAATAAGTATATTTTTGGTATTCTGAAAGTTGCTTCAAAACATAGATCTTAGTTTTTGAAGCAGAAGGCTAGACAGCTCCCTTATGTACTCATAGGTAGTGATGATGAAATGGGTTCTGTGTTGTATACACAAAGTACTCTCATCCATTTTTTTCCTCATTCTGAATTCCAGGAAACACATGACCTCAGATTTTATGGAATAAATACTACTAGACAAAAAGAAATTTTTATGTAGTTTAGTGAGATGAGTCAAGCAGAGACAAAGACTAGATTAAGTATGCAGAAACAAAAAGCAAAAAAAAAGACCCAGCTATAACAGACACGATTTGGCTAAGCAATTTGAAAACAGTATCTTTAAACAGAAAGGTACAGCTCTACTGAAACAAAATCAGCACTTAAACCTTAAAACTTAAACTGAATGGGCTTGACCTAGCTCTTCAATGCACAGTTCTCAGAAGAATAAAGAAAAGCTGTCAAACTGATGAATTACACATACAACGATCCTTCTGTAGAATGCACAAGTACAGCAGCTTAGAATCACACAAATCAATAACGAGACAAAAAGTAACCATGGATTTCCAAATTCCTGACATAACACATAATACTGTGTGATCATGGTAAAGAGCTGCAGCCTGACTGACATGAAGAGCATTCCCCAGCAACCCAAATACTGCTGTAGCTGCTCCAATGCAAGGATGACCCATCAACTCCAACAGAATGCCTCAAGATGTGGGTCAATTAGGTCTTAAGTTCATCTACTTATCTGGAGATGTTACTGGAAGACAAGTTCTACTGTGCAGGTCATGATTGACACTGTGATCCTTCTATCCTTTTTTGAGCATATTTTCCTCTTTGGCCTGTTTGGACCATTTTGAGGGGAAATAAGTGGATTCCTCTTGTGTAAGAATGGGCTATTATCCTTGGCAAGCAAAGGAACTAAAATATAAATACCTTCCTGCAATCAAGATGGCTATAGTGTTGGTTTCCCAGATATCTTCAAGCCAGTTCTCTTGCTACGACTGTCCTGCTGCTCTACATTGAAGCTCAAACAGGAGGGTGAGGAAGAAAGAGATCTTAAAATATGACTACGATGGTTTCCTGTTGTTGGCTGCCCATCACCAGGCACACAAAAACCCACAGAGCCTGCAGACATGCCTCACTGTTACAAAATTTTGCTAGCATGGGAAAAATGGCACAGGAAAGTCACAGTTGGATGAATGATTTCTTGTATTACCAGTTAGTGAGGGAAATTAGACTACCACTTATGTCAAATACCAGTACTTTTAGCATTTTCTAACATGACCTGGTCTCATTCACATCCTTACTGAAGTAAATTGAGATGGCAAGCTGAAAGATTTGTACCCCATGTTTGGCCTCTTACAGCTACTATAATAACCATACTGTTTTGCTTGGGGGTGCAAAGTGGAATAGGCCACAATTTTGCTTTCAAAACTGCTGCCAAGCCATTTACTTCAGTGGGAAAGGAGACAGCATTTACCAGAAGTATCTCATGCCAGACAACATGATCAGCTACATTTTCATGATAATTTATTACTGAAGCAAACAGAAAATATGTTCCTCACTGATCTCATTATGCTTTGGAATTGGTGATTTCTGTAGCTCTCTTGGAAACTTAACTTGAAATCTATTTTGCTTCAGAAACAATCATTTCAAAGGGAAACTGGAAAAGTAATTTCACAGAAGTTTACACTTTATGAATGTAGTACTTTTAAGAGACATGGGATTATTTTTCTAAGCAGAAGAAGTATCATTTAAAAATCTAAGAAGTAATTTGAAGTGATTCTTTACATTGATGTCTATTATATATAGGACTATTCTCAAATAATTTTTCTAATGAAAGACCTATAAATCACATTCACTCCAATTTAGCAGACTGAATATTTGAAAAATAAATTTACTGTGAGGCTAAGACATCAATCTTCATATGTGCCTTCTGCATCAGTATTACTGCATCAAGAAGATGAAAAACAGACTAAATTGCTAAAACATCTATTTTACTAAAAGAGCAATCTTAATAGGATCTGCTTAAGGATACTTAAAAAGCATTTTTTAAAGAAGAGAATATTTGCAAGTTATATTGTGAAAGATCACTGTATCTCATGCAAAACAACTGAACAGTCCAGTATTT